ATTATTATTATTATTATTATTATTATTATTAAATCTTTATTGCATGGTAATTCAACGACAAATAGATGTACTGAAGACAGTCTTTTTCACGAAGAAAAAATCTAATGAATGCAATAGTGTTGAGCAGTTAAAATAATAAAATTTGTGAGTGATACAGTACATTGTGTGATACATAGTTCTGTGTGATACATGTTACATCAAAGCTTTACATATTGTTACAGGACTCTGACATGAATCTACTACGTGAATGACAATATGAAACGACTACTGTGTACGTCGGTAATCGGCGAGCTATAGCGGCTGTTTAATCTGCTGTCGGCACTCGTGTAAAACAACTATTTTTACTTTATATATGAACCTAAGGTATATATGATGACTCTAAAAAGCTAAAACTACTTGTCACAGATTGTTCTTGAAAAAAACGTGTCATTGAAATGTCCTTCAAAAAACAATTCACACTTTTGTGGGAACCATGTATAATGATGAGAACGATATGGAATAGATAGGTGGTGACTAACAAGGGTAACCACAGTGTTGGTTTGATGTGCCTGTAGTTTTAAATAATGAGAAAAGGCCGCATCCAAGGTAGGAAGGGTGCTGGGGAATTTTGGACACGGTGCCAATTCTGTCACTCGACGGCCTTGCAGACATATGCACGTACGCACGCACGCGCGCACACGTACGTACGCACGCACGCACGCGCGCACGTACGCACGCACGCCACGCGTGGGTTTGCCGACGAGAATTACTGGTGATCGACGTTTTGGTGAACAACGACCGTTCGATTTTAAGTTAAAGTTCAGACTTCTAGTTAGTGAAAACATATTTTTCTGCAATGTTGTTTTTCTATTACATCGCATCACTTAAAAGAACACCCGGTGTTTACTTTCCACTGTTTTGGGGCGCCTGTGTAAATATTATCGCGGCATTTCTTGTGTGAAAATGGATTTGGTCGATGAAAAAACGAATGTAAACCAACAAGCGGTTACACTTCCAATGTTTATTCAGCTTCGACGAATAACTCGCAAAATGTTACAGTTAGTTGTAAAAATTGTATTATGCTAGTTTTAGACAGATGTTTGTTCCACGTTTCGCGGTAAGACGCACTAACAACGTCGGCCACTGTCTACCACGCACCGCCACACAGCTTCGCGCAGACAAAGCTTGAAAAAAAACACACATCTACCCATCGACATATTGCACACGATATACGAGTCGAAACCCCCAGCAGCTGCCAGTAGCGCGTTGTGCGGGGAAGCGGGGTTACTACGACACCTCTCTACCCAGCAAACGATTATATACCCGCACGAGGTAACGAGCATGCCTGATCAACTCTATACAGGGCTTCACAGAGCGCGTCTGCGCACAAATCACGCGCTCGCACACACACACACACACACACACACACACACACACACACACACACACACACACGCACACACTAACGGCTACCATCTGTTCGTATTGTTTGTGACGTCATCAGGTATACAGTCGGCGATGATCGATGGACAAAATTAGCATATCGCATCATTAAGACCGGAAAGATTTTCTCGGCTAATTTCTAAAATAGTTCGTGAATGACGAACCGTGAGTGCAGCACCGTAATTAAGCAAGGTAAAGCCCACTCACGCGCTCTTCGCCAAGCCGAACTTATGCTTCTGACAGCTCCATAATTCTCCTCTCCCCTCATCGCGTCATTTTCTCGCAGCTTAATTATAATCGACGGAAAGCATCGATTTTCGTATCGCCTTCTTCTCATCGCCGACTAACTATTGCCGCGCGCGACAGTTTTGCGACGGAGAACAACAATGGCGACGAATCATTGGACTACACGACTGTGCTACGTTCCATGTTCCGTCTCCCCAGCCTGTTCTGCTAGCATCTATGACAAATACGACATACGCATATACGCTCTCCTATGACACTATTTGTCATAGGAAGAATCTTCCTATGACAAATACGACATACGCATATACGCTCTCCTATGACACTATTTGTCATAGGAAGATTCTTCCTATGACAGATATTGTTGCATGTGTTGTGCGCATCATAGTTTAGGAGTTAAGAGTTTAAGAGTTTTTAGAGTTTAGGAGCGCTATTATGAACACAAGCAGTGAATTTCAGCTGTAAAGCGGAACGAAGTTGACACGCCAATATTTGTCATAGGAAGAATCTTCCTATGACAAATAGTGTCATAGGAGAGCGTATATGCGTATGTCGTATTTGTCATAGGAAGATTCTTCCTATGACAAATAGTGTCATAGGAGAGCGTATATGCGTATGTCGTATTTGTCATAGATGCAAGCAGAACATGTTGTTCTCCTAGCTGACACTCGCGTCTTGGCCACGCACCTGCATATCGCGCGCGTGGGAGGCCAAGCATTACGCGCTTCCACCAGATTCTTGCATAGAGCAGAGCCCCTCACCATTGTTACACAACAAGACAATTACACACGCACGCACGTACGCACGCACGCACGCACGCACGCACGCACGCACACGCACATCGCGGCGTTTATAAAACAAAAACAGTAAAACGAAATATATTAAATCGAATTTTTAAACTCGGACGCGTAAAACGATTCGCGTAATTAGACCCTACGCAACATCATACGACCCGCTACGTAACAGCAGGAGTGAATACTAATAGATCAATTACCATTCACTCCTGGTAACATGATACAAGTGCGCGCCCCCGCGAGCACCACGAACACCGCTGCGCGACACCACCAGAGAACGGCCGCGGCCGACAGCCGTAGTTCGTCGGCTCGTCGTCGACGCTGATGACGTCATCGCGAGCCGATGTCACACGTCACCGTAACTAGCCGCCGTCTACACGCCGTCGCCTTAGCTCGCCGAGCCGACGCGGTGAAATCGACAACGCGTGAGAGAGCACGTAGCCCGTTTCGCACGCCGATTAGCGACGAACGCGTCTTGCAAACGCGAGCGCGGCTGGCGCGTACAATCGAATCCGTGTCCATCGCAGTCGACGACATTAGCACAGCTTTGAAACCGAACTACGGAACTACGGTGCTGGCTCATTACTGCTCGCTCGTGTGGCTCCCGTTACAGCGACACGCGGCACGTACTGCGCGCACTCCCGTATGTGGAACAGCATTGCGTTTTACACTGTACATCGTGAACTACACACTGAGCTCGCTTCTGAATTTAATTTGGCAACATTCAACATAATAACGACTGAACAGGATTAATTCAACACGATGATTTAACAGGATTATAAATGAGTTCTCGCGCTATAATTTAATCGCTACAAACGCAATAAAGTACGTCGCGAAATATATGGCAGCATTTTCACATAACATCCACAAAAGCCAAAGCACTGAATGCTAAATCAACTTTGATTCGGCCTGCACTATAAGATCCCGCAAACGCATGTAGTTAAAAGTCATCTGCGCATCTAAAATCGTTAAATAGCATTTCGCATATTTTTATTAGGCGGTAATGCGCGGTTTTACGCGTTGCTGCCTGCCGCGATGAATGTAAATAACCTTATATTACAAACGCTAGCTAGTTAATAAATATGTTTGATTATTTGTCAACGAATCACATTTTAACCCAAAATCCCATACGCCCGTCACCACAGTTGACATTCGCATCTTGTATTAGAAATCCTATTTCATTGATAACGAAATTAAATGGAACGAGAAACAAAATTGTCGCGAAAACATACCATTTACGACAAAGAATTGAATATCGACAGCGAAATAAACCCGCACAGCTTTCATGTAGACTCGAATACCACGCATTCGGTATCTATATACATTTGCCGCTGAAATTATAATTGGGACGTATTAGAAAAAACGGACGTTATTCGGATGGGGAACAAAGCACAAAAACATGACGCACTTTCACACACACACACACACACACACACACTTTACCGTGACACAGATCGAAACTCTAACCTTATCAACACACAATGTACGCTAGGTCGGCTGGCAACTGCCATTTATCACATCTAACCCTTTTCCAGCGATGAAATGAACCAATGAACAGATTGAAACGCAAGAAGCAGGGAGGGAGGTGGCACGGTGACTCTCAGCGATGGTGGTGTGGTGGTGGGTGGGATATTATCTATATTATGTACTCTTGATATTATCATATTATTCAGGACGCATATATACTGCATACGAGGTCCGAAGCTGCTGTGCTGTCATTAATCCACGTGCGCCATATAAACAGTCATTATTTACTTCTAACATTTACGTAGTCCTCACCCACTACCGCCTGTGTATTCAGTCATTCCCCACTACCTTCCACCTGCACAGTCATTCTCTTCTGCCTCCTTCAGTGTAGCTATTTCCAACCACCTCTTCTCGTACAGTCATTCCCCACCACCTCCTCCCGTGTAGCCATACCCCACCGCCTCCTGTGTATTCACGTAGCGTAGCCTCTTTCTATGTAGCCATTGTCAAGCACCCCCTCTTATACAGTCGTTATCTGGCACCCTCTCCTACATAGTCATTACCAACCACCTCCTCCTATACAGTCATTACCTGGCACCCTCTCCTACATAGTCATTACCAACCACCTCCTCCTATACAGTCATTATCTGGCACCCCTTCTTATGTAGTCGCTACCAACCACCTATATTATAATTCATTCTTACTTTAAGCAATGTACGTACAGAGAGAAAACTAAACACAGGATGTTCCGATCAGGTACACAAACATAAACTACGCCGTGACTATAACAATAACATATACAGGCAACAATAAAACCTTCAATAAAATATGATAAAAAATGTCACTACCATGAAAATTTAAGCAGCTGCTGCGACGTGTTATATACAGAGTGTTATTAATTTACACGGATTTTCTAACCTGTCATGAACATGCTCATTTTGAATATTTACAAATATGGTTAGGACATATAACAGTTTCTTTACTATTTGTCTATTCTGCTGGTAATATCCTCGTGTATATGCAACAAATGCCGGCGACAAAGCTGCTTTTCAATGATATGATGTTTTCCTACCATTGTATTGATACTTCGGCAACAGCCGACAATTAGCTGAATGAAAACTTGCATTTTAATATAATCTTTATCAGCCAGAGATATATCTGTCAAGACTAACCGAAGAAATCTCGACGTTCATTGCAAATACAGGACATAAGGTTAGTGCATGCCATTTATCTGCAATTTATCTACTAATATATTACTCTTAACATAACCACCCTGAATTAGCATAATTTAGTAAGCAATGATTCTTGTTTGTTTTCAAACAAGCACTGAATACCTATGTCTATCTTTCACATTGCACATGACCTAACTCAACCATTTCATATATGCAAATGAAACAGAAGACATTGCATATATTATAGAAGTAATATCGAAATGTGTAACTGCATTACTGTACACAGACATTTTCGTTTAAAGGGTTAAACTGCTCAATACAATTCACACACCACTGTTCTGTGTAGGTGACCGACAGAATGAGGTGACCATCCCTGCACATGGGTGCGCATACACGTAATTCGTTTTCTGTTTCTCTCTAACACGATAGCATCGTGGATATTTATTAAAAGGAGGAACGTAGTATTTCTTAATATGTATAATGTAACTCTGTTGTGTACAGCGAGGCACTATAATTAAAATTTTCATTTTTCCAAATTTCTGAAAATGTCATCACACTATATTGGGTGTACCAGGAAGATGGGGGGACTGTTACGCTGGGGCGGAGGCTCCCACGCTATCTCCGATTGCTCTTCTTTAAATTGCGATGAATCTGGTTCTGGTTTCGGCCGTATTTACAGATGGTGAGATGCCTCACAGGAAGTGACACCAATCAGGATGTGACATCACATGGTGGTCACGCGACACGAAGCGCAACTTCAGCCTCTGCGAATGACGTTGCTGTCAAACCGTCGTCTCCCGGTAAATCTTTATAGTGCAGCCATTTTGCTTCACCTTTATGAAGCGTGTCTCTGATGTCGGTCCCGCTGGGCAGCCATCTTGTCTTACCCCAGGTGCTGTCTGTAGGTGCCATGGTGCACCAGTAGGACTGCAGTCTGCAAGAGTAAACAATACATAGTCTTATTTAATAAACAGTGTAATTTTAAACACAGTGTAATTTTATACAGAGTGCAATTGTATACACAGTGTAATTTTATACAGTGTAATTTTATACACAGTGAAATTTTATACAGATAATATTATAACAGTATAATTTTATAAACTGTACACAGTCTTAGTCAATTTTATTAACGTTGTACTTGTACGTGTGCACGTTGTAATGCTGTGCTTCTGTATAATTCATATTCCCTAATAGATTCTGTGATACAATGTAGTACATGTGTACTATACACTCTGTAACACACTTCTTACAATGAGAAGGTTGATTTGCCTTTTAAACGGCCCATACACGCACAATATATATCATTGACAATAATATTGATGCAATATTATTAAGAACAAATTCTGTTGGCCACTAACGGCACAATAATATTGTGCAATATCGTAATTTGTGCTCTGATGCTGAAGGTGAACAGACGGATCTGCACAATGAGACAATGAGTGGACAATGAGAACCTTCAATAAATATCTACTGGGTTTTGATTCCGTCAGAATATTGCGCAAGTCAAAATTTTCCTTCAATATTGCACACTAACGATAAATAATATTGTCAATATTCACTATTGACAATATTATTGTCAATAATATTGTGCGTGTATGGGCCGCTTTAAACATTTGTGTTACATGCTCATACGATAATTGTGACAGCTGACATGTAGGTACTCGCTTTGTGATAAATGCTTTACAAGCCGTTTCGTTTACAGACGTTCAAAGGCATTCACTTTTAGCATTTTTTTAAAGTTGGTTTTAGAACAGAGACAGTTTCCATGCCAGCAAAGTTACTCACTGCAATTTGAATTGACACAAACACACTACATGTGTTCCGTGCAAGCCTCTGTGTGGCATGATAAAATTGTCATGCACCTGTGAAAGATAACGTCACGATTATACCGGAAAAGATGAATAAAGCATGCAGGGTGCATACGACGTTCTCAACTGAAACTCAAAACATGCCACATTAATGCACACATTAACGCACACGCACACATGCCCTGCTAACATTATATGTTGCTTTGTGTATTGTGGAAGACACAGAGAAGATGATACGCCTGCTTCTATAGCTTGTCTGTGTTATATTACATCGTCCTATGAAGAACAGAATCCGTATATTGTTGCGCAGCACAGTTGTAGAGCAATGTTGTTGCACCAACAGCATTTACGATGGGTGCGTATAAAACTGCACTGCATGCAATTGCATTGAAAGGTCGAAACAGTCCTATTGTATTCTTGGCAGGCATGCATGTAAGTCACTGCTAAGGGTTCCAACTAAATCTGTGTGAACAATGAAATAGATACATGAGATGGCATATAACCTGCTGACAAAGATCACACCAATTGGCAACTGACCAGGGTTGGCCAATTTTGTAAAACAGACGGAGTTGGCAGAGAGAGGCTCCATGCGATTGGGACTACTTACTACCACCTATTTTCAATGACTGATTGATTGATCCATCGATTGATGGACTGATTGATTAATTTATCAACTGATAGATCGTGTATAAAACTCGTGAGAAGAAAACAAACAGTCATAGGCTTCACAAATCCTTATCAAAAGCCACTGCTCATGGATTTTGCTGCCTGGAAATTAGCTGCAGCTCACAATAGCCCGTAGCACGTAACATGCACAAATCAAACCGCTACAGACTAAGGTTGCCTGCACATCTTGCCACCTGGGACAGCCGTTTACCTCGTTGACATGCATTTTGCATAAATCATGCTCGCCCCAAACTGAAAATCCTATCATATGCCTTCGTAAAAACTACATAACTCTGGATTTATGACCTCATAATCTCTGCCCCAAACCTGGCCTTTAATAGACAAACTTATGACTCTCAATGACTCTTGTATTAATTTTGGCTCTTTATATCCTGCATTCCTACTACTTTCAGGTAGTTTTGCCTGTGACCTCTAGTATCATTTAAGTCTCATCCTCTAACTTGGAAATATGATTTGCACAATTATCAATGAATGTGAATGTAAACTGCCACCTCGAGATGAGAAGGCTAATGAAAAGGCGCAGAAGACACAAGTGTTAAAAGAAAGTTGTGAGATAATGTGCTCTCAAACTGTAAACGAAAACTTTATGACCTCTAATCTCTGCCCCAAAGCCTGGCCTTTAATAGAACAAACTCTATGACTCTCGAATGACTCTGTAATTAATTCTTTGGCTCTTTAATCATCTGGCATTC